TTTCGGAATGCTTGATCCAAGCCAGGTGTAAGGGTACACACACCTCTAATTCCTGAACTCAGATAGTACAGGAACAAAGAATTGTGAGTTCAAGGCTAGCCTGAACATTATCAGAGACTCTGTCTCAACAACGTAGAAAAGCTGCCTATTTTCTCTAGACTCGTGTGTAGACCGTTTCTGGAACAGCACTGACTTCACCTGGCTCCACCACACAGAACCAGAATGCAATAATGTCTCGAATGTTCTCATAGTGTGTCCTCTTAATAATAATGGCTAGTTATTATTGATTTCACTGCTCTAGAGCAGAAAGGAACATTTATGCTCTTTTGGGAGCTATACAATTATCACTAAAATAACATATTCACCAATTTGATTGTTATAGGTAGGCATGACCTAGAGGGTAAAAGTTCTTCAATTTTTCTCAATGATATTTTCATATACCAAGATCCACATATTACATTATTACAACATGAACTTTTAATTGGTGAGACCATCCTATGCGTACTACCCCGATGTCTACCAGCTTGCTTACCGATGGATCTTAGGGGCAGTGGTATCTCACTATTCCTCAGACTACCACGCAATGGGTGCGCCACATTTTCATCAGTTGTGTGTGTTGTTTTTCAGTTTCTGTCAAGGCAGTGTTATGATAAACATTTATATACATGAGATGTTTGTTGTCAGATTTCTATAAAATGAACAAGTTGAAGCAGGTGCTACTGGATGGTTTCTGGTTTTCCAGAACGACTGGACCAGTTTATACTGACACAGAGTGAACCGAAATCCTATCCAGCAACTCTTGGTTTACACCATTCTGCTAGCCAAAATGTGTATTTCTTGTCTGTCTTCATTTTACCTCATTTATTAATGGAGCTTTCCAACTGCTGTGACTTCCTTAAGGGCCTGATCCTTGGAACAGTGGCACTGTTCTTGACCGACAGCATCGGGGAAGTGTACTCTGCATTTTACCATGGTGTGTGCTGGTTTATATGTTTTCAGAGCCAACTTGAGAGTGAGTTTTCGTCTCTTAGAAAATTTTTGATTAATGTCGAATCTTGTGTCGTAGGTTGATATGGAGTGCTGGTTCTCGTCCGCGTGCACAGTATATAACTGCTCCTCCACCTTGCACATCAATCTTAAGCTTTACAAAGAGCCAAGTATAGTTAGTTCGTTGAGCCATTGTATTATATGGCTTCATACTCTGGATCCCCCTGCCCACTTATTGTTTAGTACATTTTAGCAACTGGGGTCTATCCCAGCTATAAATGTGCTAAATTTCATTTAGATAAACCTGATGGAAATCACAAAAGCCTTTACTCATTTGTTAGTGTAAAAAGGAGAGAGGTCATGGGCAGGAAGAGAAAACAGCGCTGTGTCTTTTCTCTTTTACATATTTATGCTGAGGCCTTTGCTTATCAACCGTTTTAAATCTGTGATTATTATATTAAATGTGATTTAGCCTGAGCTGTCTCGGTGAGTTTTCTTAGCCACCAGCAACCATGAAATTGCCCTGTGTCCCTAAAAGGGATAGCAGAATTGATCACTTGAGGGCTGGTTGAAGCAAGTGATTCCTGAGGTGGGGTGGGAGTGTATTTTATGTAATTTTTGATCAGGACTAGACTAACTCAGAGGTCAGCTAGAATTGCTGCAGGAAACCCATGCCCAAAGGGCTTCGATACTCTTTGCAGCTACTCTCCTGGTAGTGCCCACCAGGGGAGTGGCAGAAAGGCTAGTCTCCGTGTGTATGTCCTATGCATGCTGCCAAGGGGCCAGGATGGCTCTCTGCCCCCCGAACCTAGTTAGCCTGGATGCCTAAATGCTTCTAAACCCATAATTTGAAATAAATGGCTTCAATCTGAGATGTCACCCCAGCAGGCTTGTGTTTTTGAGCACTTGGTCTCCCATTGGTTGTGCTGAATTAGGAAGTTATGGAACCATTGAGTTTCAGGGCCTAGATGACAGATGTTAGCTGATAGAGCCAGGCCTTAAAGGTTATACCCATCTTCCTGTCTGCCCACCATGGAAAGAATATCACATGCTCCTCCCACTGCCACCTTGGGTCCCTCTGCTGTGCCTTCCCCTGTGAAACTGTGACCCAGAATAAACCTTTGCTCCAAGGAGCTGCCTCCTTGGGGCATTTTGTCACAGTGGTGAGAAAATTACTAACACAGAAAGTTTGTGAGTCAGAACCAGAGGTGTGGGAGGTGGGGCTGGTCAAGGCATGACAGTTGTGTGGCCTACCAGAGTGTCATCGTGGGCTGTTTAGTACCCTAGCTCTCTCCTTCAGTGCTCATTTTCCAAACCTGATTTTTAGAGCCACTTCTACCTCACCTGATGGGTTAGTTCAGAATCTGTGGCACCTCCTGGGCTTCCCGGGGAAATCCTGATTGGCCTCTGAGCTAGGGTTTCTCTACCGTTTCATGTCTTAGAAATCACAGAAGATGGTAGCCTTTTTACGGCACTGGTACATGGGTGGGACTACTCAGAGATGGATGTGACCATTGTAGGTATTGCAGCTGCACTCAAGGCTCAGAAGATCTGTAGCTCAGGAAGCCCAGAGAATATAACGCTGTGCTTGAAGCTGATCATGGTGCCCTTACTTCTCTACCAGTGATGGGATCAGAGTAAACCTATGGCCTAAGGCAGAATAGGAAAAGCTCTCTGTTCCTCAAAAGGGTTAGTGTGGAGATCTCCATGCCTGAAAGGGTGGCAGCCATATTGCGATTATGACTATCAACCTTCAGGAAATATTCTGAAATAGTAAAACAGAAGGAACTTGGAGCCTTCAGTATATTGGTGATGGTAGAACTTACCAACCTCGAAACTGTCCTCGAAACTAGATACTGAGATCAAAGGCCTCTAGTAATCAAGCATTGTATTAGTTACCATTCTCCTGACTGTGACAAAATCCTGGCAAGGAGAAGCAGGGAACATAGTCCATCGTGGTGGGAAGTCACGGTGTCAGGAGTGTGAAGGGGCTGGTCACATAGCAATGAATGATAGTGTTCAGCTCACACACTCCTTTTCCTGCAGTCTGGGACCCACCCATGTTTAGGGTAAATCTTCTCACCTCAATTACTCTACTCTAGCTAACCCTCACAGGAATATCAGAAGTGTGTCTTCCTGGGGTCAAATTCATTACCACTATAAACTATCACAGAGATTTTCCACTTGGTTTCATTCTTGCTTCTGAAGAAAAACTTTATGATAGAATAGCCACTCAAGGCTGGGACTTAGCAGAGAGGCATGCAACCACAGCAAGAATAAAAGAGGCTCAAAATAGGAACCTCCGGAGAAAAGACATCAAGAACTGAGGATGTGCCGATCAAAGGGAAAGGCTTAAGCTCAAAGGTAGATGGGCTGAATGAAGCAGGAGGGAAACGCTGACCACGTGAAGGCCCTTCACATGAAAGTCCAGGGCACTCTGCATGCTTTGTCCATTGCTACTCCTTGGTACATGTGAGAGGGAGAGTGGAGATGCTTTGGGGCAGTTCTGAGGGGCAGAAGAGCATGGTGCCCGGGAACCCGGAGCCCTGTGGAGGCTCCGATGCTGCAGCCCTTTCCTAGCTGTGTGTGGCTTTTGTAAACAAAAACATCAGCCAGGTAGAGCGGTGCCTCTAATTCTAGCACTTGGGAGGCAGAGGCAAGCCGATCCCTGAGTTTGAGGCCAGCCTGGTCTACAGAGTTCTAAGACAGCCAGGGCTATGCAGAGAAACCCCATCTCAAGACACTAAAACAACTAAACAAAAAGCATCTCTGTGCCTCAGTTTTCTCATTTGTAAAATGGAGACAGTAATAAGAATCCCGACCTCAAAGATATTACACGGTTTGTGCTAGGTAATCCCTCGAGGTGGAGACTAGACGGGGCCTGGTGTGCATTAAAGGACTATGTAAGGGTTTGTTTTTCCTAATCTTTAGTTGTCATTTAAACCCATATTCTGAAAACAGTTGCTCTCTGCTACTACACAGCCTGACATGGCCATATTAAGAACACCTAGGGCTGATGAGATGATAGAAGGAGAGAACTGACCCCTAAAGGTTATCCTCTGAACTCTACACACACACACACACACACACACACACACACACACACACACGGACAAAGAAGGAGGGAGGGAGGGAGGGAGGGAGGGAGGGAGAGAGAGAGAGAGAGAGAGGGAGAGAGAGAGAGAGAGAGAGAGAGAGAGATCTAGCCAAGAGTGGATTGGCAGGCATGTAATCTCAGCACTGAGAGGAAGGCTGAGACAGGAGGATTACAAGTTTGAGAGCAGCCTGGGCTATGTAGTGAGTTTCAGGACACCAGGACACTGTGAGTTACAGAGTAAGACTCTTTTCAGAAAACTGTCAAAAAAAAAAGAGAAGGAAGAAAAAGAGAAGGAGGAAGAGAAGACCCATAATACCACATACTGGTGAAAACAAAGGACAGCTAGACCTCACTGATTGCTGGTAGGCATGTAAAATAATAGATAAGACAGTTGGGGGAAGGGACTATTGGGCAGTTTCATAAAAAATTAAAGGCATGTCCATCGTATGATCTGTTTGCTCATCTCTTGCTTATTTATTAAAGAAAAGTAAATGTATGTATATATGTCTGAGTGTACAGCATACGTACATACACACACACTTGGTTCAGTGTATGAAGCTCTGCTTAGAAGAATACGTCTCTGTAATTCAATTTATATAAAATTTTAGAATAGAAGAAAATTATCTATATTGCTATAAATCTGAAGAGTGTCTGTAAAATTGTCAGAGGTACTTTCTAGAAGTGTTCTCTATCTTGGTGGCTGCTTATACCCTGGATGTAGTACATAGGGTATGCATGTATGTCTTGGTTATAAATTCTAATTCAATTTTTATTTTAGCGTGTGTGTGTGTGTTGTCTGTGTATCGCGGGCTGCAAGCACATACATGTACAGATGCACGCATATGTTCAGATCCAGAGGAGGATGTGTCCTACTGCATCAGTTTCTGCCTTATTTTATTGAAACAGGGTCTCTTACCAGATTAGAGCCAGGCTGGCATTCAGAAAGTCCCAGCGATCCTCCTGTCCCAGCTGCAGAGCACTGAAAGTGGTGGTGCATGTCTGTGCTCACAGCTCGCCAGCTGGCTGCTGCACAGTGAGCTCCTGGGCCAGAAACAAAGGGGGGGAAGGTAGAACTCAGTATCTTAAGAACTGGTAAGGAAGGAAAAGCACAAAGCTTTTCTTTCCTGGGCGGGTGACGTTCCTGGGTGGCCAGTCATTTAGCGGAACTGAACAGAGTGGTACCCACTGGCAGATGGGGAGGAAGATCTGGCCTCAGCGAGATACTCCAGGGAACAGGGCCGGCAGGATTAGAAAGTTGCCATGTTGAATGTTCTGAGTCTAGCTTTCTACCATAACAGGTAGACTGTCCTTCCAGTGCAAGAACACACAGGCTGCAGAACCTAGGAGGGAGTCCTCGTCAAAAGATCATCCAGAAGGGGAAAGCTTTGGGAAGCACAGGAGATAGATGTGTCTAGAATGATACCTTGAAAACCCAGTCGGCAAGCCTGGGCGGTAGGAGGCGGATGGGTAAACAGCTCCACCTTCTTCATCAAATAAATAACAAAGAGCAAGAGGTATCTCTAGATCAGCCAAGACCTAAGAGGAATGTGAACCACTGTCAAAATGTGGCACCTGGCTTTGGATCTTGTTTCTGGCAAAGTTGGGGAGAAAATGAGGCCAGGCAAGGTAGCATATATCTTTAATCCCAGCACACTCTATAGGCAAAGGCAGACGGACAGATCTCTGTGAGTTCAAAGACAGAATGTTCTATATAGACAGTTCCAGAACAGCCAGGGATGACATAGTGAGACCCTGACTTGGGGGCTGGAGGAGAAGAGGAAAAGGAAGGGGGAAGGGAAAGAATTGAATGCGGTCCTATATGTGTATAATCTCAGAACTCTGGAGGCTGAGGCAGGAGGATTATGAGTTTGAGGCCAAGCTGTACCACATAATGAGACCTTGACTCAAAAATAAACAAAAAAGAAAATTACTAATCATTTGGAAACCTGAACTGTAACACATTTGAGGATATTGAGAATTTTTTCCTTTTCACTATCTGGGGTTATGTTCCAAAAGACTGTCGTGGTCTTTCATGTTGAAATATTTACAGATTTCTGAAGTCTTAGATTTGGTTCAGAATGACCCAGAAGACAGAAAGGAGGTGGGAAGACAGATGAAGCAAAAGTGGCCGGATTAAAAGGTGTGTGCTGAAACAGGGAGGACACAGCGTGACACCAGCCTGCCACTGTGTGTGCCCCTGAAGTCTTCCCTCATTAAAGATTTTATTTTATGCAGGAGTAACTCTAACTGAAGGCCAGCCTGGGCTACATAGAGAAGACCCCTGTGTCAGAAGAAATGGAGGCGGGGGAGGATGAAGGAGAGGAGGGTGAAGAGGAGGAAATGGTTTTGTTTTCTTTTCAAAGGGCTGCAAATGGGCAGAGAAAGGGGAAAATGAAACAGAACAAAAAATCAAAGTCCACAGAAAGCCAGGAAGGAAGTGAGATGGAAGGCTGTGTGGTCAGCCCACTTTCTTTGCATGTTTTCTTCAGCGGCCTCTCAGAAAAGTGTGGCTTGGGACTCTGGGTGTAGATTCTGTTTTCTTACCCCTGATGGGGAGAGGCTCCTTGCACTGACTCCTCTGAGTCTCAATTTCCTGTGTGTAAAATGGACTTCAAACATGTTCTTCAAAGGCATTTTTGTCTTTATTTTTCCAAACACCAGGAAGTTACTAGGTTTTACAGAGTTTGTGTCCATAGTCTGGAAAGCTGCAGACACCTCCGGCCTCTCTGTGAGACAGACCTGAGGACTCCTCAATGCCTGCCTCTCTGTGACACAGATCTGAGGACCCCTCAATGTCTGTCTCTTTCTCTGTGAGACAGACCTGAGAACCCTCAATGCCTGCCTCTTTCTCTGTGAGACAGACCTGAGAGCCCCTCATTGCCTGCCTCTCTGTGAGACAGACCTGAGAACCCCTCAATGCCTGCCTCTTTCTCTGTGAGACAGAACTGAGAGCCCCTCATTGCCTGCCTCTCTGTGAGTCAGACCTGAGAACCCCTCAATGCCTGCCTCTCTCTCTGTGAGACAGACCTGACAACCCCTCGATGCCTGCCTCTCTCTCTGTGAGACAGACCTGACAACCCCTCGATGCCTGCCTCTCTCTCTCTCTGTGAGACAGACCTGACAACCCCTCTCAATGCCGGCCTCTCTGCCTCAAGCTTTTCACCTCTGCTTTTTCATTTGTGGTTAAGAAAGCAAGAGAATCCGCCCCACACAAGAGACTTCCCTCTTTCTGCCTGGAGGAGAACATGAGTAACAGATTTTTCCATCGGGTCTGTTTTTCCTGGACACAGCATGTGATCTCAAGGAGACCTTAAATACACTTTCAGTGTTGCTTATCAGCCCGGGTTTTAGTAACTTTTGAATTCACTTTCTGTAGTTGGTGATTTTCCTTTTTAAACAGAAGTTCTTTTTCATTCGGTAGCTTCTGAGAGCTTTCCAGGTGCCTCCTCATTTAGCCCTGAACGTAACAAACAAGCCCTGTCCTGAGCCCAATCCCCGTAGCTGTTTTCTCCCCTGTCCTGCCCATTTTCTCTGGTCAGGGCCCTCTCTACTATGACTTTTGCCTGTATTCTGTCGATTTTTACCTTCATCTGAAATTATTTTGTGTGTTACTTGTCTTTCTATTCCTTTCCTGTCCTGGACTTCTACCCTGCTCACTCACTGGTCTCTACAACCCAGCACAATGCCAGGCAGAGGGACGTGGCTCTGTGCAGAAGGAAAATACTCAACTTCTTATTCAACAAGAGCCAGGCATGGCAGGGCCTGTAATGCCTACCCTTGGGAGGCAGGGGGAGGGCCATGAGTTCATGACAAGCCTTTTGATACTCTGTCTCAGAAACAAAAACAAAAACACAAGGGGCTGGAGATGTAGTTCACCAGTAGAACATTTGCCCAGCATACACCCAGCTCTTAGTTTGACCTCACGCGACACAAAGTAATGGTAAAAGTAGCATTAGACACTGTAATAAAGAAGCCAAGCATTAAACCAAGCATGGGGTCTTTCTGAGCCTGGGATCCTGTGGGGCCTCAATGCCACCCTGAGCACCCATGATACCAACTCTGGTGTCTACCACCTTATGAACTCCCAAAGTAATAGTCCTTGTAATGAGCGCAAACTTAGGAAGTACCACGAGGCACCCAAGTGCCTTGGTTACAGGCTGATGACAACGAAGAGCAGAAGACCAGGTGTGTGGAAGAGATGCTGGGCCCAGACAGTGAAGTAGCATAGCCAGCGGCCACTGCTCTCCTCCAGGGCCACAAAGTCCAATTGGTTGAGGAACACGGTGTTTTCCAAGCTGGTCTCTCTGTAGCACCCCTATCTGTATTTGGTGTCCCAACATATTTGAACCAAATGGAATTGGGTCTGGAGGCTGAATCACTTTCTTTATTGCAAATCTCACTACACTTAGGAGCACAGCTCGTCTCATATTTATGGCTGATGGCTTGGTGCTAGGTTAAGATGTTGGTTTTGGAAGATGGCAGCCCATTGCCTGGGTTGGGGTTTATAGTGTGTCTGACATCTACCTGGCACGTGAAGTGTTCAGTGAAGGATGGAAATGATAGTTTAGTGATAATACAAAGATATTCCATACTTTTTTTTAATGAAGAAGGGGGAACCCTGCGGACCAGAAACATGGCTCAGCAGTTAAGAGCACTTGTTGCTCTTGCAGAGGACTCAGATTAGGTTCCCAGCACCCACATGGCAGCTCACACCTGTCTGTAACTTTAGTTCTGGGGAATCTGATACCCTCGTCTGGCCTCTGAAAGCACGGCACGCATGTGGTTGGTCATACGTAATGCAAGCAGATCACTCACACGTGTAAAATAAAAAATAATTAAGTTTTCAGGAAAATAAATGGGACCGTCTATACACGTATTTTCCCCTATCTTACTCCCTGGAACATTGAAAGTGAGCCTGCCCAAGTTTGCCCAGTAGCTGAGCCTGTGACTGCACCACAATGAGTGACTGGCAGTCTCGGCTTACAGATGTTCTTCTTTGTTTAGAGCCTCTTCAGGATGTCGGTTCACTTTCACGGGGGACTCTGCTGTGGGTGGGACATTGGCCCCCTCAGTCTTCAAGTGTTGGAAGCTTACTTCCCAAAACCCTGTGGTAATGGTACTCGGAGTGGGGTTTTTGAGTCAGGATTAGGTGAAGTCATAAGGGTGGAGTATCCACGATGGTGCTGAGGACATTATACAAAAAGGAAGAGAAGAAACCCAAGTCAGCAAGCTTGCTCTGTCTTCCCACATGTGATACCCCCATTATGAAGTGGCAAGAAGGCTTTTCACAGATGCTGTGACCATGCCCCAGGACAGCCCAGCCTCCAGGACCATGAGATAAATCTTTATTTTTTGTAAATTATCCATCTCTAGTATTTTATTATAATAACAGAAAATGAACTAAGACAGCGTCCTTCATCAGGAACACAGGTTAAGTCTGCCCCAGAGCTGGGCACTTGTCAGGAAGCATTGAGAAGAATCAAGTCAGATAGAGTGGGCTTCACCCATCCCTGCTCCTGGTCTCTGAGTGCCACTTGTCTTGGAATGCTTCCTAACTGGTCCCAGCATTCCTGTCTGATAACCAAGTGCTGCTGGGATGGAGCACTTCACTCTGAGCCTAGCCGGATCCCTAGGCTTCCCCAATCTTTACATTTAGTGTAGTAATAAGAGCAGCGGGCTACGTTCCTGGCACCCGGCCACCCGCACAGCTAGCTTTACACCCGGAAATAATTACACGGAAACTGTATTCTTTTAAACACTGCCTGGCCCATTAGTTCTAGCCTCTTATTGGCTAGCTCTTACATATTGATCTAATCCATTTCTAATATTCTGTGTAGCACCACGAGCTGGCTTACCAGGAAAGATCTTAACCTGCGTCTTTCTGGAGTGGGGGAATCATGGCGACTCCTGACTCGGCTTCTTTCTCCCAGCATTCTGTTCTGTCTATTCCGTCTACCTAATTTTTCTGTCCTATCAGAGGCCAAGCAGTTTCTTTATTACTTAACCAATGAAACAACAGATAGAAAGATGACCCTCCTCCATCAATTTAGGATCTATCCAACCTTGTATTGATAGCAACAGGATCCAGGGTCACACGGTGCAGTTGGCTAAGGGTATCTGAGTCGCACAACCCTCTCTCTCCCAACTGACAGGCTACAGAGAATCTGCCCATGCACAGGCAGAAGCAGAAATTATAGGCTGAATGACTATCCAGTCATCCTGTCATCCAGAGCGTGTCTGTCTCCTGATGCCCACCAGGATGTGTCCTGGTGGCTCTAGGCTGCCATCCCAGCTACTCTGTCACTCTCAGCAGTGATAGAACGCTTCTGGAACACTAAAGCCGGAGATGAGATATTAATCTAATACTTAAGATCATTCATAATCTAATTAATAATCTGAGGACTAGTCATAGCTACTGCTGTTTTTACAAATACGGTGCTCAGAGTAGACCCAGGCCTTGGTGCACAGCCAGCAAAGCTCTGCCACCTAGCCGCACCCCATGTTTCCACCCTCTTCCCCACTTCCGCATACAGGTACTGGCGCTGATGAGAAAGTCCCTCTCTGAGTTATCCTCATGGTCCTCCTGATGATGCCATCTTCACTAGGGCCCAGACTGTTGGAGGCTCGCAACTTTCTGAGGGTCCCTCAGAGACATCATTACAGAGCATTCTGTACACTCACTCTCTCATTCATCCTACCAACGGGTGTAGTGGGCTGCACAGCAGAACCACTGACTGTGCGGCCCCTTGGAGTGCTTAAGCAGCTTGTTTCTTCTAACGTCCAGCTCTTCCGGTTGTCAGGATGCATGCGTACAAATAATAATGGCTCAGTCCGGAGTCAACTGGCACATTTTCCACCGGTCAGGATGTGTCACCTCCCTCTGCACACAGACTTGTTGCTGATTAAGTCAGTCACTGCTTGAGATTTTTCCCACAGTCCGTTGTCTGTCATTCAGAGTAAGTAAAACCTTTGAAAGGACGTCATGTGACTTAAAACCATTCCTGCTCCTTGACAGGTACATTTGCAGTGGCATTGGGGAGGCGGCTCACCCTCCAGCTCCAGCATTGGGGTATCTGATCCTTTACAGCCATCAGATCCCCCAGCACCAGAGCTGCCTGTGCTATCTCCTCTGACCCCTCCCACACACTTGCGAGACAGGGATTTTTGTTCCCAGTCTACAAAGGAGAAAATGGGTTCCCACAAAGATCAAGTAACTTTCTCAACGACAAACCACTGAAAAACACCAAGGTTTGCTTCACTCGAGAACTTACATTTTTACCCATAATGCTAGAAGATCTTCTGTTTCAGACTGAAGAAGCATGGTACCATGAGCTCTTTCTCAACTGCTGTAAGAAAAGGAATTCGAAATAACTATATGTCTGTGTATTCTTCTCATTTTAACTTGAAGTAATATGTACTTTTAATATTCCCTACCCTCTGAGTAATTCCATTGGTAAATTATTCTCCAAAATGCGAATGATGTAATCCACCCTCAGTGAGCCCACAGTTAGCCTGACAAGATTGACACCGTGTGCCTGGTATTTCTGATGCTGACTGACGTTGATGGAGTGGGAAAATCCATGGGCATGAGATGTCTGTGAGAAGCAAAGTTTATTAAATACGCTATTCCATGCATTGAATTTCCCAGGCTAACCCAGAATATGTACAGGATGGGGAGCCGGATTAGAATTTGAACGGTACCCAGCATCGATCATCTCTGAGTAATTCTCAACCCCTCTTGGACACTGTAAATGAAGTTGAGAACACAGCGCACAGTATGTTATCATATGTTTTAAGTGTATAATGAAGAGAGGCTTCGGGTAGCCAAAAGAAATAGCAGTCTTTTTAGCTGGATTTTCCCCTGTTGCTTTCCTGACTCATGTTGAGAGGCTTTTGTTTCTAATCAAAGCAACAAACAGTAAGGTCACTTCCTTGCGATTATATGGCAGCGGAAGGTGTCAGGGGCACTGGGTCCTCACTTCTACTGGCTTGTAGTTGGAGGACACAAGCACACACACCCCACCGCGCTGAATACATGTGTCCTGCGTCCTGTACCTTCTCGCCAGTCCCTTTAAATGAACCTCGATCATGGATTGGAGGTAAGAGTACTCTCTCTGGACAGCAGATTACAGGCAGTGTCGTGGGGGCATCGTGAGCTTTCGCTAATGTGTCTTAGCAAAATATTGGATAGATTTTTAACATTACATGGGGGAGGATTCCTGCAAGCAGAACATTTTGGAGACCAACTGTTAAGCAACAGAACAAACAATGCATGTTTATCTTTCCATTTTTTCAAGGAATTCCTTGCTAACTCCTGTCGGGTATGGGCTGGAACAATACCATAGCAGAGACAGCTCTTAATGTCTGTCTTTCGGAAGTTTTTCCTGTTTTGTGTAAAACACTGTCTTGGCTTCTTCAACAGACTCTGATTTTCTTTAGCACTTCAGTGATTGCCAAAGTGTGTCATTCCAGGTCACCGCCAGCGTCACACACCTACTGCTTTTCTATTCTCTCTCTTTTCTTAATTATTTGGTAATTTGAAAGATTAGAGCTTCTTCGCCTATCCTGGAAAGAACGGTGGAAAGGATCCCCGCGTGCAGCCTCCAAATTCTTTTGATTTGTAATTGTTAATCACCTCATCATCAAGATGGGGTCCTTCCAGTTTTGTCTGGTGCTTGGCAGCAAAGGTCCTAGTGTCCTAGAACTCATTAGTGTCCTGTTTGAAAGAATCCTTTGATATGCGCCCCTGACCTGCCTAGGGAGAGTAGGAGGATTGGATTCTGTCCATTACTCCAGTTCATGGCAAAGCTTCTGTGTGAGCAGAATTCATCAGCTCACAGTAGAGACTTCGGATGTGCCGTTCTCGTGGATAGCCACCAGTTAATTAATAAAACTCTTCTGATTTGTCAGAGGAAGTCCTACATCCTTATTAAAGGGAAGCTTTTTGCTCTTTCCCCCTTGTAATGTGGTTATGGTAAACTCATTAAAGGCCAGTGTCGTGTGTTCGTTTCTCTTCCCTGGTCGGTTGTTGGTGCTGGGGGAAGGGAGGGAAATCTGGGTAGACTTCAGAAAAGAAAGGAAATTAGCTCATGCAGTGGAGTGCAAAGCTCTAGGGGGAGAGGAGGAAGTCTGTGGAGGAAGTAGGTGGGATTGGGTAAGAGGAGAGAAACCTTAAAGAAATAAATATGTCACAATGGAGACTGCGATGGGACCTCCCACCAAAATAGAACACAATGGCTTGACCTTACAAGTGAGCCATCTGCCCTACCTAAAGGTGCCTGATGTCGGAAAGAATGTATTATTTTCTGAGATGCAGCCCTGTGGTCTGGGTTCTCAGAGTAGCATTGTAGCAGCCCGGAAGGCTCACGTGACACGATTCACACAAGAGATGCCCCTTGCAAAGTCAAGCCACCCTGCTCTGCAGCCCCTTGAAGAGGTCAGAAACTGTCAGTCTTAGGGCTCCCACGCTTCGACCTTCCCAGCCACTGTGCAGGAGTGCATTCTGTTTTCCCCGGGTACTATTTACTGGGCTTTCCATCTGGAAGTCGGGGAAGGTGTCACTGTAGAAAAGCAGGCTTGCTGAGGGGTGCTGTGCACCATCAAAAAGAGAGACCGTAACCAGCAGAATGCTGGAAAGTAGGGAGAGAAACACCACTGGTTGAGGAGAACTACACCATGAAATGCTTCAGCTGAAGTAAGACCTATGAATGGCTTTGTCCTGTCTCCACAGTCTGTTACCAGAGATGAAGAAAACTCCCTCTTCTTCTCCCAACTTCTGTCAACTGCCTGTAGCTCCTCGGCTAGCAGTGGGACATTGTGTCTGTCTTCTGTCCTCTGGGCTGGGATTTTTGTCTGTCTATAGCCTGTGCAGCCCTTGTGCATTCTGCCATGGTTGCTATGGGTTCACATGTGTCGCTGCCCTGTTCTCTCTGGAAACACCGTCCCCTTGGTGTATGGAATACCTTTGGCTCTTATCTTCCCCCCAGCTCTTTCCGAAAGATCCCTGAGACACTGAGCAGGCAAGATGGCTCAGCAGGTAAAAACAAACAAAAAAAAAATACATGCTTCCAAACCTGAAGAACTGAGTTTGATCCCCAGGACCCACATAGTAGAAGGGCAGAACTAACTCCCACAAGTTTGCTTTCCTTTCTACGCATGCATCATGTCATGTCCATGTCCTTATACATAGATACAAATACACATGCTTACATACAAATAAATACATTTCAAAAATAAAATAAAAAAGAAAGAAGTGGAGATGTTTTCTCAAAAGTTGGTGCCCTGTCAGGTGCAGAACACAGTTTGGAGACCAGATCTCTGAAAGCCAGCTCTGCCTGATGCCCGCCCTGGGTTTCAGGGGCATCTGGTCACTCTGCCCAGTTCCCAGTGTCTCTACCATGCAGGAAGAGCAGATTTTCACAGAGGCATCTTGGGATAGAAATTCAAAAGCAACAGTCCAAATGAGGGGTTTGCCGTAAGAGCGATTGCTGGCAGCAAACAGAAAATTCCCTAGAAACAGTCTCCAGTCACAGTGAGAAGTAGCACTAGGTAAACTTAAAGTCCTAAGAAACATGAGCAGGAGACATAGTTCTGTTGGTGAAGGGTTTACCTAGCATACTCTTTTCTTTTTCTTTTTCTTTTTTTTTCTTTTTTTTTTTTTTTTTTTTTTTTTTTTTTTTTTTTTTTTTTTTTTNNNNTTTTTTGGTTTTTCGAGACAGGGTTTCTCTGTGGTTTTGGAACCTGTCCTGGAACTAGCTCTTGTAGACCAGGCTGGTCTCGAACTCACAGAGATCCGCCTGCCTCTGCCTCCCGAGTGCTGGGATTAAAGGCGTGCGCCACCACCGCCTGGCTAGCATACTCTTTTCATCTCCACATCTGAGTCTTCCTCACTGGGCTCAGAGTGGAGGCTAATGCTAAGACTCCCTTGCAGCTCAGACACTCTCCGTCTTGCCCCAAACCATTCGATTTACTTCCCTGGCTCCCCCATAAATTGAAGCCATGTATGTCTCTCTGATTGCTTCAATTCCCCTTTCTCCTTTCTTTCCCTCCTTCCCCCTTCTCTCCCATCTCTCTCTCTTCTTTCTTCTTTTCCACAAGTTATGCTTTTTACCTAGAAAGGAAATCAACAGACCAGACTGTCTCAGGTTCCTCAGAGCCAGCGGCAGTGTGTGTGGAACCAGCACAGTCGAGCAAAGTTGAGGATGAGGAGTTGCTCCAGCTGTAACTGGAAGCGGACATTGAGGTGCCATCTAGGAAGAAATCAGAGCGTGTGGGTTATGAGTGTAACTTTCCTTTTCCAACTAGGCTCCATTCCTTACATCAACTGTCTTTAAAAGTCAACACAGTGCGGTGATATGGACTCGTAACCCCAGCTATTTGGAGGCAGAAGCAGGAGGGAAGGCCTGTGAGCCCGGAAGTCCACAGCCAGGGTGGGTGAGATAGACTCTGTCCTCCAAACGAAACTGCAAACACATGCATCCAGCACTTGGCTAGAACTAGCTTAGCAGTTAAGAGCTCTTGCTGCTCTTTCAGAGGACCTAAGCTCGATTTCTAATACCCACGTGGAAGCTCACAATCATCTGTAACTCCAGTTCCAGGGGGATCTGACAGCCTTGGTGAGCACCAAGCAGACAAGTGATGCACAGACGTACATGCAGGCAAAACACCCATGCACATAAAGTAAAATTAAATAAAAAGATATAAAACCACCCTACACCTATTTCCTCGGTGCATTCTACACCAGTACTGTGTCAGGCCTGCATTAATAAAGGTGAGTTAAGTATGACTAGAGAGTCGTGGGAGCCTGCAGCAGTCAGCAAGGACAGACAGACACTCACCCACCTCTCTCTGCCACTCAACGTCTTTACTATTAGTTCATTTACCACTCACTCGGTGAGTATCAGGTAGCTGTACTACGTAGAATTTAATTAATATGATTTTGAAGTTGAAGGGTTAAACTGACTTTTGCGCTAATCACAGAGTACAATAGGTAGAAATCAAATCAGGTCGGTTCAGGCAAGTAGTGACTCTCTGATACGTTTGTTTGGTTTTGACATGCTCTGTCCCACAGAAACAGGGAGAAAGGAAGTGCTGGGTGTGTGCAGTTAACATCAGTCTTGTTGTGCAAATCCTGATCTCCTAATCACAGACTGTTGAGGGATTAGAGCTGCCTGCCATCTGCCAATAAAGCTGTGCCTGATAGGTAGGAGGTTTAATACTGTTGCTTAATAGTATGTCTATTTGTCTACAGCAATGATGTCATGAAAGTACCGAATATTACCAGGATTTTGGGTGTATGACAAATGAGCAATGTGATATAATGTAATGTAATGTCTGTGTTTGCATG